AAATATTTGCAAAAGTTATTAAGGGTCGAAGTTTTTTGTAGCGTTTTAGTAAATAGCCATTTACTCGTAATCGGATGAACAGATTTTAATAAAAATTAAATAAGAGCTTAATCAGGAGTCATACTTGAGATAAATGATAAAAAATTTAATTAAAAACTATAATTTGTTTAAATAAATTAATTTTTTAATTTTTGAGGTTAAAAATAATATGTTCTCCATCTATTTCGCAAAATTTTTTTTAAAAATCGAATAGAGAAAACTTTTAAGCTTTTATTTCAACAATAAAAAAGTGGGATTCTCAATAACTTAATGAAATACAATATTTTATAATAAAGTTTGCACATCACTTTTATGTAGCGTTTCAAGCTCTCGTGCGTCTTTTGTTTTTCTGTGTATTGTAACAGGTTTTTACAACATAGTTTGAGTCTTCGGAGTACAACATGCAAATCATTTCATTCTTGTTTAGTGGCGCGTAGAAATGATATTTTCTTGTATTTGTAATCGCTTGCGCATTCGAGTAACTTAGTTTTAAATTATTTTCGTGGAATATATGCTCTTCTTTAGAATAATACACGAATTTATACTGTGCACTACAATTGTCAGACAAATATATAAGTTTTTTAACGTTTTCGCTGCCCATTTTTCGTTTTAAAAATTCAATCAATTTTTTATTAAATAAATGTACAGAGCAATGATCATGCTTCAGATGCTCAGAAACCGTAACGAAACTTAGATGTTTTAATTTATTATTTTTTCTGTAATAAATTACGTAAGGATGTAGAGTAACTTGTGTGTTTGACCAATAACTCGATTGAATTGAATCTTGAATTTTACAAGTAAAGTTTTCAGCAAAATCTAAGCACACAATAAGTTCTCCTTCCTCAATAGTTTCCTTCATTGTTGTTAAATACGAAGTTTGAACTTGGGCTAGAAAATCATGTGTCACCAAACTTTCTAAATCACCAGCTAAATTCTTTGCAAACTCATGTGCTCTTTTCTTTTCAACAGTTAACTGACACCTTCCCCCACAGCAGCAAAATCTTTACTAAAAATTTCGTAAAGATTTCCTTGAAATCTTGGGGATATTTAATTGCAAAGTTTAATAAAAATTGCATAAAGATTTAAATGTCCCACTAAAATAAATGTTTGGCGTAAAAGTTGACTAAAAATTTAAATGAAATTTTCGTCGCAAAAATTAAGTAAAAATTTAAATTAAATTTTCAGGAAATGTTTGGCGTAAACGTTGACTAAAAATTTAAATTAAATATTTATTAAAAATTTATACCGAAAGTTGAGTGAAAATGTAATTTAAATATTCAGTCAAATTTTGTGACGAACATTTCCTAAAAATTTAAATTAAATTTTCAGAAAAGTTTGGACGAAAATATTTGTAAAAAATACAAAAATAATATTTAAGAAGTATTAAAAATATTATTATTAATATTAATAATAATAATATAGATAGATAGATAGATAGATAGATAGATAGATCTTTATTTTTATTATTATTATTATCAATAAAAAAAATTTACTATCTGGGATTAAAAATAAAATAAATAATATACAAACATTGTTGCTCTGCTTTGATTCACATTGAATCAAGCACTGCATGCTTGTTGAGAAAGAACTTTTGAAAACAAATTATGGGGTGCTGGGGATTGAACCTACATTTGTCGCGCGCTAGCTACAGACCCTAACCACTACACTACAGATATCTGGCTGAGAAAAAAAAATCTTCCACAGGCTCTACAACTTGCTGATAGACAAGTAATCCTACTTATCGACCTAAAAGGGCGGGCTCATTTGAAAATGTTTTTCACGGAGATATTTGAATATTTTGAATATTCACATTGCAGGTGAATATAAAAATTAAAAGTGTATCGAAATAATGCTGTAAAACCATGACTGAAGGTCATGTGAAAAGGTTATTATAAAATTAATTATTTTTTAAAATATTATCTATTAATTAAAAATTCACAAATTTGCGAAAATTAATTTTAAAGTTTTTTATTTATTAATAAACAATTATATTAGTATTGTTAAAGACAAGAAAAAGCGTTTTAAAAATAATTAAGAAAATAATTTCAATATATTAAAATAAAAAAAGAAAATGAACATAAAAATTCTTTCTTTTAAACATTTAAATCAAAATTAATATTCAAAAATTATTTATTATAATTAAAAATGTATTAATTAATAAAAAATTAATAATAAGAATAAATTCTGTTGTAAAATTTTTTTTTTAAACGCTTAGATGTGGTAGTGCCCCACATTTATTTCTGTCAAACAGAATTATGTATATTATATGGGCAAATCCACAGAACCGGCCGATTTTTACTTATCAAGATGAAAATTTTCCAAATAGCAAGCACACCTTTTATTTCTTTGTTTTTTTTATATATATTATTTGAAATATGTGCAAAACATTTTAAATAATAAAATATGATAAAATACAAATAATTAATTTTTTAATTATCAAAAATAAATTATTTATATTTTATCATATTTTATTATATATTTTATTTATTAGCATTTAATTTTTTATTTCTGTAAATTCTATTGTTTACTTAATAATTTTGATATTAACTATTTTAACCAACAAACTGACATTATTGACATCGATTTTGATATAACTTTGAAAATAAAACAAATGAAAGGATAATTCATTTTTCACGATTAACTAGTTAAATTTCGATAAATTTTTTTTTATTTTTAATTTTTAGACGTTATAAATTGAAAATATAATTTGGCGTTTGCATACAAGAATTATAATAATGTCTTTATATAATCACACATGTTTTCAACTCATCATATTTTATCCTGTAGTTGTGCTACTGAAAAAAGGCTATGTTGAAAATTGTTCACGCTTAAACATAGAGTGATAATTATTGGAATATTTTCTTTAATTCTGATTGCACTCTATTCTATGATACATACATTTGTTCGTCTGTTCACAAGCAATAAGCTCCAATTTGAAAAATTCAAATCGAATAATCGCCGCAAAATATATTTACAAAAATGTATAGACATTTCATTATTATAAAATAATGAGTAACGCTACTTTCAACGACTATCATTTCTTTTTATTTAAGAGCACATATTTTTTATTACTTCCAAAACATTCTTCAATAAGTAAACTATAATTCACCACAGTTTGGAATTGTTCGGATCTATGCCGAACAAGTTATACCTATAAGAATTAAAATTTATACCTGGAGTAACACCGTAAATTTCATTTTTTAAGTTACTTAATTCGATTTTATTTTTTATAAAAGACTAGAAGGTTCACATTTATTCAATTTTCTTATTTCAATAGGTTCTCAGAGATATTACAAAATGGTTGAAGTATGAAAATAATTAATATAATACTTCTAAAATAGAAAAATATGTGAGTAACATGAAATCGGCCGGTTCTGTGGATTTGCCCATATGTATTTGTTTTTAATTAAATCTTGTAATAAATGTGATTATATTAATTGTTTAATTTACTTATCCTATTTTTAAGTAATATAATTTTTTTGTATTTATTAAATATTTTTTTATTTAAAGTAGGTATTTAAAAAAATTAGATTTTTTTTTAAATAACTGAATTTTCAAAAATAATTAATTTTTGTACAATTTTTAAAAAACGAATTTTTAAAAAATTGTAATTCTACATTTTGAAAATACTTGAATTTTACAAATTGTCACAAATAAATATATTACAAGAATTTTTTTCTGTCTATTTAATCAATTTTATTTTGCATCGAAATATTAATTTTTTAAAAATTTTATTTCAACTTTAAAAACCATTTTGTAAAGGCTATATATTATTATTATTATTATTATTAATAATAATATTTTTAATACTTCTTAAATATTATTTTTGTATTTTTTACAAATATTTTGGTCCAAACTTTTCTGAAAATTTAATTTAAATTTTTAGGAAATGTTCGTCACAAAAATTGACTGAATATTTAAATTACATTTTCACTCAACTTTTGGTATAAATTTTTAATAAATATTTAATTTAAATTGTTAGTCAACTTTTACGCCACCCGGACAGCACCAAAACTTCCCTGAACCTTGACTGAACCTCGCTTGACGAGGTTCGGGAACTTGAGTCGCGAGGTCCAAACGAGGTTGAGTTGATGTTTAAATGTCCGCGCATAATAAAGGTGAGTCACAGAGGTTGGCTGAATATTGGATTTGAAATTCTGTTAAATATTAAAATTAAAGATTTTTGGCATATTGTGAGGGGATATTTAAGGAAATTAAAAATTCAAGATTTGTTAAATGTAATCATTAAATATTCTGGAAATTTAGAAGGAGCATAAATGCGGAAAAATAAAAAGAAAGCAAATGAATTTAAAAACCCAATGGGAAAAATTAATAATTAAATTAAAATAAAAAAATGGTTATCAAAGTATTAGTGAAACTATTTCTTCCAAAAAAGAATTTGTCTCAAATCCAATAAATAGGAGAGACATCGGGCAGAAAAAAAAATTTCGACAAGAAAAAAATTTTCGATCACTGCTTATATACCAATCTAATGGCACCTCAAATGCGAGAAACAACTATGATGTTCGCAGTGCCGGCCCTAGCCTTCCTTGCGCCCTTGGGCAAATTTTTCCAGGCGCCCCTTGTATGGAAAGGAAATTCAGAAAAGTGAACCAATATTTGTTGTTATTAATAGTCCAAAATTTAGCCATTAGTGTATATATTTGATAACGATTTGACAATTATTTTCAGTATAAATTTTAACGAATCATTTGCTATTTCTTATGGGATTTAGAAGCTTTTGTCAATGATTAATTTCCTATTGTATTTCAAAATGAGAAATTAATAAAAGCACTTATGTATTTTTGTAAGAATTCTATTTAAAAAGCATATGGATAATATTAAGTAAGATTCAAAGATTAAATATAACCTCACAGTACAAATTAATTTTTATGTAAAAATTTACATTACGACGAATGTTTAAACAGAAATGGAAAATTTATAAAAATATTGAACTCAGTTTAATTCCTAAAATCAACTTTTCGAGCCTTTTTCTCAGCGAAAGTTTGAATTAGAACAGAGGTATCTAGATTTTCGGCGATATCGTGTTCAATAGATAAAGTTGCTAAATTTGAAAGTTTATTCTGTGACATTGTCGATCTTAGGTACGTTTTAATTAACTTTAATTTCGAGAAACTGCGTTCACCACTTGCTACAGTTACCGGTATTGTTAATAAAATACGCATGGCTATCCATATATTTGGATACAAATCTTGCAAATCATGTTTTTTTATGAAGTTTAATATGATTAGTGGAGTAATTTTGACTTTAGATTTATCGACAAGAAATCCTTTGACACTCAACAATTCATCACAAAGTTGTCCACCTTCAATATCTGATTTTGAATTTATTGTTAATTTAATTTGAAGACTATTACACATTTCTAAAAGTTCGTCTCGATCTGGCAGATTATCAACATTATACAAAAAACCCCAAATTTTTGAAAATTCATTAAGATGTTGAAATCTCTCTTTTATTGATGATAAAACTGTATCCAACAAGGGGTTAAAAAATTCAACTTCTAATTTCTTCTCTGGGCAAGTGATTGGTTCGTCTTTGTTTTTTTCATCAAAGATCCGCTTAACACGTCGTACCCTTTTTATTTCTTTAAAAATTGGTTCAATTTCAAGCTCATCTGCTAGTTCTCTTGCTGTAACAATGGCCTTTTTAAAACCTTCTTTTCTATAGTCTTCTAAAAAGTTGCAGCAGTTCTTTAACATTTCTACGCATTCGGTGATGTCCATATCCTTTGCTTGAAGCGATTTACTGACTATGTTTATTTGGAAAAGAATATCATACCACACAATCAGTGAGACAAGAAAGCTAAAGTCTTTTAATTGTTCGGCTAAAGTAATAGCTTCATGTGCTGTATGACTATCGCCACCTGGAATTTCAGATAAAGCCACTAAAGCGTCATGAATTCCACCGATTTGGTATCGAACTGCTTTCACACTACTGATTTTAGCTTCCCAACGTGTGTCAGATAGTTTTTTTAACGTGTATAGTTCAACGTGATCAGTCAAAATTTTCCACCGATTGACTGAAGCAGAGAATAATGTGAACAATCTCTGAAGTACACCGAAAAGAGTTACTGACTTGACTGAAGATTGTGCAGCATCAGAAATTACGAGGTTTAAATTATGGGATCCACAAGATACAAAATCAGCCAACGGATTTTCATCTAATATTCTTCTTTGCACGCCAACAATTTTTCTTTTCATATTAGATCCGTTATCATATGCTTGACCTCTGCAGTTTTCCGGTTAAAGTCCGAATGTCTCCAACATTTGAAGTATTGATTCAGTAAGACCTGCACCAGTCGTATCATTGACATTAATAAATCCCACAAAATGTTTTTTTATTTCTACCGTATCGACAGTTACATCTACAAATCTAATAGTAAGGGAAAGTTGGTTCTTTTCGCGAAACGTCTGGCGTACAATCAGCAATGATTGAATAATATTTGGCTGATAGAGCATTATTTTTAATTACAACATTTACATTTTCAGCAATTAAATCTATTAATTCATTTTGTATCTTTGGCCCACAATAATGATCAACAATTTTGCCATCCACAGCAAGATTCAAATGATTTTCCATGACAGGATCAAACTTTGCAATCGTTTGCACTAATCCCAGAAATTTACCATTATTAGGCGTAAAAAGTTTATCTGAATTACCTCGGAAAGCCATATTATTTACACCTAAATATAAAACAATATTCAACAGCCGAAACAAAACACTTTGTCATCGCAAACTCTCTTTTTTAATAATTTTTAATTCCTCTTTATCGATAGTTTCTCCTGTTTTTAGCCTCATCTCTGTTTCTATCCACATTCGGTAAGCTTTTTTATGAGAAAGACTGTTCTCATGAATTGAAAGATATTCTGATAAATTTTTCCATTTATTGAATCCATCACCAACGAATTTTGAAATAGATTTGTTGTCAAAAAGTCGACAGCAAAAGCAAAATACGCAATCTCGCGAAAGAGAGTACACTAACCATCGTCTGCAAAGTACTTCGCCATTTGAAAGTTTTCTAGTATAATATGAGTTTGAAAAATGTCGACCTTCTCCATTTTGAGGGTAATTGTCAATTTTAATTTGATTTGGACCTCCTTTAATCAACTCATCGATAAGACTATTATTTCGAATGGTAGGCCAATTTCCACAATCAGACAACTGTAAAATCTCTTGTGAATTGTCAATAATATCCTCGTTTTTCGTATCTTGTACACTATTTAAATCTATTTCTTTATTTTCAATTTCATGTATGTCATTCACTAATTCCGTGGAAACACTTTCGGAAATACTTGATTCAGAAGGAACTTTTATACAGTCTTCAGGGATTACGTCTTTTCCTTTTTGAATTATATATTTTTTAATATCCATAAACTTTTTATCATGTTCTAATTGCTGAATTTTCTCCGCTTTTCGTTTTCTAAATTCAAAACCAGACGGTTTCTTTTTATCACTTGACATCTTGCTAATTTATTAAATCAAAATTATTGCGAATATCCTGTACGTAAAAAAATAAAAAATTATCATTATAAACTATTTCTAGAGTGGCCGACTCGACCCTTTGAACAACAAAATAATTCCTCATTTCTTTCAACTCAATTTTTTTTGCTATTGAGGAGTTTTTATACCAGTGTGACAGTGTGAAATATTTCTGTTAATATAATATATGTAAATAAATATAAAACACGAATAATACTAAGATTTAAATATATAATTGCATATCATGCATAATCGTTATTTTTTACAAATATTAAGCATAAACAAAATAAAAAGTTTTACAACAAAGACAAAACACAAACATAAATATACATTTTCTCGATAAAGATCTTACCAGTGAATAATTTCAGTTAGGGAACTGGAATTTATAGGTTAGAAACTTTATGTTCATTCTTATTTCCTTCTTAACTTTTTGAATACAATTTTTTATCAGCATGTGCATTTGTTTCACTTTAAAACTTTCCTTGGTTTAGTTATTTAATTCTACAAATTAACCATAAATTTATAAAAAGCAATAATTGTGATGTTTATATCACTGAAAATACTTGAATCTATTATTTGCTACCTATTGATAAATAATCAGGGATGGGTGCGTAATATATTTCATATCAGCGTTGGGCAATAACGTGTCTGTGTGCAACTCTGGGACTAACGTTAGGGTGCGGTCACAGCATTTAAAATAGTTCGATATATCGAACTTTTGCATAACTTGATTCGTTGGATCTAACGGAATACTTATCTTACTATTAGATCCAACCGATCATGTTCTGCAAAAGTTCGATATATCGAACTATTTCAATGCTGTGACCGCACCCTTAGTTACTTATTGTCAGGTTGAGTTCACAATAGACGATATTGCTTTTTTATATAATAAATAAGATATATATTTTTAATAATCCTAAAATATTTAAATTAAAATTTCGGAAAGTTATTTTTAAGTTATTGAAAAAAATTTATTTAAGTCAAAATATACATATAAGCAACTTTTTTGGGCGCCCCAAATTACTAGGCGCCCTTGGGCGGCGCCCGACCTTGCGCCCCCCTAAGACCGGCACTGGATGTTCGCCCTGCCTGTGGCATTGAGCGAACTAAAGTCCAGAGCTGAGCCATCAGCGCAGCGCGGGAACATTTGAAAAATTTGATTTTATTAGATATTTTATTTTATTTTAAATATGACAAATAATTAACTTAATAAATAATTAATGTCATAAATAATTATTAATAACATAATGTCATACTTAATAATTCGTTAATTAATTATTTTTAACGAAAATTTGACAAAAAAAAAATTTGCGGTAAAAAAAATATTACCATTAAAAAATAATTTTTTTGTTAAGTATTCGTAATAAAAAAAAATAATTAACTAATTATTAAGCTAATTATTTAATTAATTTTTTTTACAGAGAAATTTTGAAAAAAAAATTATTTTCTCATCGTGATATTTTTTTGGGCCACAAATAATTTTTTTACTGAGAAAATTTAAAAATAAGTTTTGGTAGACCGAACAAAATGATTCAACGAAAAAATTTAGTAGCCCGAACCAAACGGATTAGTTGCACATATATCAAATAAAAAATTTGGTTTGGACAACCAAACTTCAGTAGATGATACCAAACAGTTTTCTCAGTGTGTAGATCATCATAGTTCCACTCTTACGCCGCCAGATGGTGATAATTTTTTTTCTCACAGTTGAGATATATCATGGACATATCAGGGATATGTCAAGAAACTTTAAACAGTGGTTTCTTTTTGTATGGAATAAAAATTGTAATAAGGGGCATCTAAAGTTTTCAGCACTGAGTTTTTCATCACTCAGGCATTCACGCCTTAGAGAGTTTTCGCCTCAGAGGAGTTTCACTGTACTGGGCCACTAATCCCCCACAGCACCGAAACTTTCCTAAAGATTTCCTAAAAATTTATTTGAAATGTTCGGAATATTTAATTGCAATATTTAGTGAAAATTGAGTAAAGATTTAAATGTCACGATTAAATAAATGTTCAGGAAAGTTTCGCGCTAAACATTTATTCAATTAATCTTTACACAATTTTCACTAAACATTGCAATTAAATATTCCGAACATTTCAAATAAATCTTTAGGAAATCTTTAGGAAAGTTTCGGTGCTGTGGGGGGTGGCAGCCAAGATTGGCCCAGTAATTAGCGTCTGATTCTTGGCTGCCGACGTCCAACCGCAGTTAGCACCACAAGATTCGGCCCAGTATTGTCTACCAAGACTTGGTGCCCGATTTGACAATGCTGGGACAATATTGGCCCATGTTGGTTTTCGCACTTTTTCACGAGTTGATATGTTTTAAAACGATTTTTTGAAATGGTATGTTCTTCCACTAACCCGACGATTCCTTTATTACTTATTTAGTTATTGCTATTATTTATTAATTTTTTTTACAATTGAACAAAAGTTAAATTACAATCTTCAGGGTTAGTGCTAAGCTAGTAATAATATTTTAATTTACTAGTAGTGACCAAAACATTTTGTCACATTTTGTGTAACTCTAACCGTTTTTGAGATATAAAAAATGTATTTTTCAAAACGTAAAATTTTTTAATCCTATATGAAATTCCATGTATGATCCCACATGGAAACCCATACGGGATTAAATATGGCTTCTTACACTAAATCCTGTCCGAAATTACGATGTGCTTTTATACATATAAAAAATTTGATGGATTCCCATATAGAATGCAATATAAGTTTTTCCAGAAGTGTATAATTTTTATCACACGTTTTTAAGACCGTTGGTCAAAAGTCAAGATAACGGGAATAATTATTTTATTCATAAAACAAAGCTGACATTTATGTATGAATGAATGGACAGTCTTATCGATTAAAGTAAATTTAAATAAGGATGTATATAAGTATAGTTATGTTAAATTATTTGAATGTGAATACTAAAAAAAATGTTTGGTGAGTACAACCAAAATTTGATTGGGCCAACTGAATTATTTGGTTGGCCTAACCGAAGTTTGGCTGTACTCACCAAACATTTGATTGCTCGGACCACACAATTTTTTCAGTGAAGAGAGGAGAAATAAAAATTTCAAATTTCGAACATAAACAATAGTTTAACCACTTCGCTACAGCTGGCAAGGTATTATATAAAATAATATATATATATATATATATATATATATGGGCGATTCCACGTGAAATTTACCTATGACATTTTAAATTCGGTAAATATATATTATTTCGATCTTTAGAGAAAAAAAAGATTTACGAATTTTTTTATTTTTTTATAAGTGCCCAGATTTTCGAGTTATGAATTTTTAAAAATCTGATTTTTTCGAGTTTTTACAAATACACCTAATTTCAATTACATCCAACTCTAAAAGTATTGAATGTAGAAATTATGACCAACATACAAAAAAGTTTAAATTTTTCATCGACTTTCAAATTATGTTATTGAAAAAAAAATTTGAATTTGTGTAGAAAAAATAAGTTTTTTAAAAACAAATTAAATGTTTTTAAATTTGGGCTCGATTTTAAAAAAAATTTTTTTTATTTTTACACACATTAAAATAATAAGAAAATTTTGTAATAAGTTTTGAAGTAATCCTGATGATCCTTTTGTTTATATAATTTGTTTAAAAAAAATTTTTTCGTTTTTTTTTTATTTTTTGAAATGAAAAGTGTTTTGGGCACTAGGAGCATTTAGTAAACTCATGGAAAAGTAAATTAAAATACATTTTACTTTTAAAAAATAAAAAAAGCGAAAAAAAAGTTAAAATTTTTTTAATACAAATTATATAAACAAAAGGATCATCAGGCCCACTTCAAAACTTATTACAAAATTTTCTTATTATTTTAATGTGTGTAAAAATAAAAAAAAATTTTTTAAAAACCGTGCCCAAATTTAAAAACATTTAATTTGTTTTTAAAAAACCGTTATTTTTTCTACACAAATTCAAAAATTTTTTTCGTTAACATATTTTGAAAGTCAATGAAAAACTTAAACTTTTTTGTCTTGGTAGGCGAGTAATAATGAGTTCCTAGCGTTCATTCTCGAAACAGCGGCGGCGGAGTTGGCGGCGATATCTTTTTGTAATATAGGTAGATATAAAATATTACGATGATATTGATGTTAAAAATCTATCTCTGCAAACGCCCAGAAACTACCATTTTTAAATATTATTATAACACTATATAAATTACCAAAAATTGATCACAAAAATTCTCCATGAGGAAGCAAAATGTTCATGAAATGAACACAAAAAGTTCATACTTCAATTTGGCAGCGGCTTTTATTCGCTTCAATGAACTTTGTTTCGAGTGTACTTCTGACGACGTTAAATTTTGAAAAATTATTACTTCTGTAACTTTTATCAAATAAAGAAATAAAAAATATTTATTTTCTCATTTTTCATAAATATTTCGAAAAAAAGTATCCCAGTAAAAAAATTTGAATTAAAATGTCACATGGAATGCCTCATACACAGCTTTGTATAGAAGGGGTTCGATTATTCAAAATAATTCTTAACAACCAATTTAATAGCAAGGAATACGTGAACACTTTTGTGCACACTGAAAAAAATGTTTGCGTAATAAACAAAAAATAAGTTAAAAAAACATTTTTTTTCTAGCAAAAAATTGTTTTATCTAGAGAAAAATAATTTCAATTTTATAAAAACAAATCTTAAATTAAAAAGATGAATGATTAAATATTATTTTTTAATCTGAATATTCTCAACAAAAGAAAAAAATGGTCTGTTTTTAGATGAATATCCTTAAATTGAAAATGAAATGTAAAATTAATTTTTGAACAGAATATTTTTCTCATTTCGAGATTTTATTTTTTTCAGTGCATATATGTGTATAGCAATAATATACATCTCATGAGGATTACTCATTTCAATTTTAATTACCCCCTCTTTTCCTGGAGCCTCTAAACCATGATACTGTTATAAGTATGATTATTTATGTTTAAATCTCAGATGAAGAAGTTTGTTCGACGCTTATTATTTTTTGAATAAATCTTTAAATATAACTAAGTATATCCTTACAATGGCAGTAGTTTTATTTTTCGTATTATTTTTTATTCATCTATTAGCATCAGAAGGATTTAAAATTTTAGGAATTTGCCCTAGTACAAGTTACAGCCATCAACAACCATTTCAAGCCGTAATGAAGGCCCTTGCAAATAAAGGTCATCAAGTTACTGTTATTTCTCCAATTACACAAAAGGTTAGTTTAAATTATTTAAAATTTCACTGAAAAAAAGTTTAATCAATCTGACTACGACGCAATTAGTCTGTTGCATTTTATAAAAAACATTATTTATAAATCTCCAATTAACTATTCTTTTTTCTCAATTAGTACATTTGTTAATATTCTTGTTAACCTCACCATTCTTTTAAAACCATTTTTTGACTTCTTTAAAAAACTATTTTTTTATGGTTACTAATAAATATTCAACACAATAAAAAATAATTACTTAATTATTTTTTTGTAATTAAATTTTTTTCATTATTAAATTTATTCTCATAAGTATAAATAATAATTTTTAATTAACCACATAAATTATTTGAAATAATATATATTTTAATTTACCCGGCATTTTTTCTGTGAATTTTTATTGATGAAAACATCAAGATTTTATTTATTTTTATGAAAAAATATATATATTCTATAATTTATTGCGTTAACTAAAACCATTATACAATTAAGAATTATTATACAAAATTTTTCGTCCTCATAATGATAATATTACTAAATGCCCACAAATACGAAAATGTGCACAATATTAAAATCCAAAAGTTAGGGACATTAGGGTGGCCCAAAAAAAGCCATGTTGTTGCCCCCTAGAATTGCTCCAAATGTAAAAAAAGCCCTATTTTTTTATTTTACAATCGGTTAATATTTAATGGTGCCACCAGGCCCTTGAAGTTTCCTATGTATTTTATATGGGGATAAGCTGCTTTTTCGTAAAATTGCAATAATTTCGTTAAAACTTAATATTTTTTAATTGGCCAACGATATTTCTCGTCAGGAATGTTCAAATTATGAAGTTCTAATAATTATTTAAAAAAAATTAAATTAACTATTTTTTACAAGGCAGCAAAAAACCCCATAAATGCAAAAAAAGGTAAAATACATGTTTATAAGTGTTTTAAATGATTTTATCGATATTTTTCGCATAAGTTATATTTTTTACTGAGAAAAAATTTGTTAAAACAAAAGTTGTTAAAAAAATTGTTGAAACAAATTATTCTTATTTTTTCAAAATAATGATATAAAGTTGCAGTTTTTTCTGAATATTACAACTTACCTTGTTTACTTCACCATAAAACCAGTAGAAAGTGCACACAAAAAACTAGCATTGGTAAAAATGACTAAAAATGTGTAGTTAAAAAAAGCAGTTAAAAGTACCATATTCAGAACCATTTTAACTAAACTCAGACAGTTGGTGGTACTAAATATTAGTAGTTAATTTCACCTAGTTAAAATTACTAATATTTGTAGTTGAAAAAACTGTCATGTGGTTTTAAATGGCTTTACAACATTTTAATAGTTAAAACTACTGTTAGAAATTGTTATTTTTAGGATTTGTGTAGATGAAAGAAACATTTCTTATTAGTTGCAAAAAAAATTTGATTTACTGTTTTCATGTCTTTAAAATAAGTGTTGAAAATAGTTATTTTTATGATTTATGTAGTTAAAGAAACCATTTTTTCCTAAATGCAGTAAAACCATTAAACTGACTGTTTTATGTAATTAAAATAAGTGTTAAAAATAGTTATTTTTGTAATTTGTATAGTTGAAAGAACCAATTTTTTTATAGTTGCAGAAAAACAACTAGCCTTACTGTTTTTATGTAGTTAAAATAAGTGTTGAAAATAGTTGTTTTTATGTTTTTTATATTTGAAAGAACCATTTCTTCCTAAATCCAGAAAAACAATTAGACTTAATGTTTTCATGTAGTCACTATTAATGTAAAGACTGTCGTCTTTAGTAGTAAATTTGACTACATTGGATAGTAAAATTAACTGCATAGTGACAAGAATGTTCTCAAATATCATGCAAGCCATCTGAAAAAATGGATGTCAATACTAATATTAATTATTAATAATAATAATTTTACTCCTTTGAATAATTTTTTTTATTAAATTTTGCAGTTAATTTTACCGTTTTTTCACAGTTGTCTCAACTACTTTTTGTTAATAGGCGCCTCCTAGAACCATGAAAATTAGTTACTGCAACCTAATGAAACAGTTAATATGACTGACAAAAAATCATTGAAATAACTTCTTCATTTGGTTAAATTTACTGTAAAAGTGGTAATTTTTACTATACTTTACAGTTAATCTGACAATTTTTACATAGTTGTTTCACCTACTGTTTGTTCATAGGCGCCTCCTGGAACTAGGAGAAATAGTTCAAATGTAGTCAAATTTGTCATGAATTTTTGAGTGGGATTGGCAAAAATTAACAATGAGATTTGTTTAAACAAAATATTATTGTTATTTATTAATTTTTTAAAAATAAACTTATGAAATTGGAATTAATTTGTTTTGGTCATGGTAGTCAGCAAAGATTTAACTTTTAGAAAAAACAACTAGTTTTTTAAGTGTTATTTTAGATAATAAATAAATGAAAACAATAATTTGTTTAAACAAATCTTAATGTTAATTTTTGACAATCACTTTTTACTGGTCGTATGGTGAAGTCAACAAGGTAAGTTGTAATATTCAGAAAAAACTGCAACTTTATATCATTATTTTGAAAAAATAAGAATAATTTGTTTCAACAATTTTTTTAACAACTTTTGTTTTAACAAATTTTTTCTCAGTAAAAAATATAACTTATGCGAAAAATATCGATAAAATCATTTAAAACACTTATAAACATGTATTTTACCTTTTTTTGCATTTATGGGGTTTTTTGCTGCCTTGTAAAAAATAGTTAATTTAATTTTTTTTAAATAATTATTAGAACTTCATAATTTGAACATTCCTGACGAGAAATATCGTTGGCCAATTAAAAAGTATTAAGTTTTAACGAAATTATTGCAATTTTATGAAAAAGCAAATTTTCCCCATATAAAATACACGGGTAACTTCAAAGGTCTGGCGGCACCATTAAATATTAACCGATTTTAAAATAAAAAAATAGGGCTTTTTTTCCATTTGGAACAATTCTAGGGGGCGGCACCAAGAAAATTTCTAAAAAATTAATTTTCTTGGGTATTTTTTGGCCACCCTAAGGGACACGGCATATTTTTTATTTTCTGGACATTGTATATAGAATAAATTCTGATTACTAACAGTTAAATTTTCTTTAATATGAAAGTAGTAGTTCAAGAAATTTTTTTTAACTTGTTTCAATAAACTTTTGACATTCTATTCATTTGAACATTGAAAATGGCTTTGAAGACGCATTAAATTTTTGACATTTTTCCTGCATTTTGATCTGTCATAAATCATTTTTGTGTTCTTGCAAGTTGAATAATTATTATTAAAAACTGTTTTTTACGACTTAAGCTTATAAAAATTAAAAATATTTTACTACGAAAGCTGATATTTTGTCCTATAAAATATGTAATTTTCAGGAAGGCGTTTTTTTGTTCTCGAGTAATTAAAAAAAAGATTAAAAAAATGCACCCACTCGGTCGCAAAACTGATGTGGTATCCACTCTTTAAATCTGAATTAGTAGTTTTCTACTAATTAAAGAGTGCGTATTCATTTACCAATTGAATTAGTAACAGTTTTGACTAATTTTTAGTAAAAAAATCTACCAATTTCTTGTAGGAAACTACTAATTCATTAGTAAGTCGTATTTTTTACTATTTCAAATTAATAAGCCGATTTACTCCATGAATTAGTAGTTTTCTACTATCAGTTAGTAGTTTTTTACTAAAAATGAGTCAAAACTGTTACTAATTCCATTGATAAACGAATATGCACTCTTTCATTAGTAGAAAACTACTAATTCAGATTTAGAGAGTACTGTATTTAAGATAAGTTGGGCATTTTTATGAAATATTTGACTATAAAATTTGATTGTTTAACATTCTATATCAGTTTCAAATACTTAAATTTATTTTCTAATAAAGTGTTGTTTTTCGCAAAAAGTCGTATGCGCACTAATTTATATTAAACATGTACATGTGACAGTAAACTTCTTATTCTTCCTCACAGCAGCGAACACATTTTTTTCAATGTGAATAAGCTAAGGCTAAAATTACTGCCAAACAAATTACCTTTGAAAGGTTGATACATTTAATCTAATTACTACTGTCTGTTTCAGGAACCTATTAAAAATTATAGTCATATTGATGTGTCATTCACTTATCGGACGAAAGATTGCACAAAGTTAAGGTTACTACAATAAGTCTAACTACGCTTTCAATTTTAATCAGTCATGGTGGTTCAAGCCAATTTTTAATTTTCTTAGTTCATATAATGTTAATTCTTTAATTAATAGAACATCTTTAAAAAAAGTTTCAAAACTTTCATTTTTAAAAGATTTGGTCTCATGAAGATAAGAGTAATGTAATTAAGGGGTTAGACCACTGTAAAATTTTTAAAAAATCAAAAATTATTTTTGCTAAAAAGGTGCCTTCGGGTGTTAGAAATGAGAAACAATAATCATTATAGACGTAAAATATTTTTAGAAAATTAAATTTTACATCTGGGCAGTGCACTGTTGAAAAAACTTGTACAGGATCGTGTACACGAACTTGCACATGTTCATTCACTAGGTCATGTACAAGAGCAGCAAGTGCACATGTAAAAAGAATTGGAACAACAATCTTGTACAAGAACATGCATACCCACGTGAAAAGGTTCCCGGAATTTTTGCAGAGTGACTCTGGGAGTAGTTCCCAGAACATTCTGAGAACATTCCCGGAATTTTTTTGGTTTTTTCCCAGAATTCATGGAATTTTCGTTTCAATCAAATAATTGATACTCCGGGATGACTCCAACGTACATCCAGATATCCAGGAGTCAATTCGACAACTTCTCCAGGGAATTTTAACTGTAATCAAATAATCGATACTCCAGGATGACTCCAACGTACATCATGATGACTAGGAATCAATTGGAACACTTCTCCAGGGAATTTTAGCTGTAATCAAACAATCGATACTCCAGGATGACTCCAACGTACATCATGATGACTAGGAGTCAATTGGACAATTTCTTCAGGGAATTTTCGTTTTAACCAAATAATCGAGTTTCTATGACAACTCCAACGTACATCCAGATACCCAGGTGTCAATTGGGCAACTTCTCCAGGGAATTTTAACTGTAATCAAACAATCGATAGTCCAGGATCACTCCAAAGTACATTATAATGACTAGGAGTCAGTTGGACAACTTCTTCAGGGAATTTTAGCTGTAATCAAACAATCGATACTCCAGGATGACTCCAACGTACATCATGATGACTAGGAGTCAATTGGACAACTTCTTCAGGGAATTTTCGTTTTAACCAAATAATCGAGTTTCTATGACAACTCCAACGTACATCCAGATACCCAGGTGTCAATTGGGCAACTTCTCCAGGGAATTTTAACTGTAATCAAATAATCGATACTCCAGGATGACTCCAACGTACATCATGATGACTAGGAGTCAATTGGACAACTTCTTCAGGGAATTTTCGTTTTAACCAAATAATCGAGTTTCTATGACAACTCCAACGTACATCCAGATACCCAGGTGTCAATTGGGCAACTTCTCCAGGGAATTTTAACTGTAATCAAACAATCGATAGTCCAGGATCACTCCAAAGTACATTATAATGACTAGGAGTCAGTTGGACAACTTCTTCAGGGAATTTTAGGTGTAATCAAACAATCGATACTCCAGGATGACTCCAACGTACATCATGATGACTAGGAGTCAATTGGACAACTTCTTCAGGGAATTTTCGTTTTAACCAAATAATCGAGTTTCTATGACAACTCCAACGTACATCCAGATACCCAGGTGTCAATTGGGCAACTTCTCCAGGGAATTTTAACTGTAATCAAATAATCGATACTCCAGGATGACTCCAACGTACATCATGATGACTAGGAGTCAATTGGACAACTTCTTCAGGGAATTTTCGTTTTAACCAAATAATCGAGTTTCTATGACAACTCCAACGTACATCCAGATACCCAGGTGTCAATTGGGCAACTTCTCCAGGGAATTTTAACTGTAATCAAACAATCGATAGTCCAGGATCACTCCAAAGTACATTATAATGACTAGGAGTCAGTTGGACAACTTCTTCAGGGAATTTTAGGTGTAATCAAACAATCGATACTCCAGGATGACTCCAACGTACATCATGATGACTAGGAGTCAATTGGACAACTTCTTCAGGGAATTTTCGTTTTAACCAAATAATCGAGTTTCTATGACAACTCCAACGTACATCCAGATACCCAGGTGTCAATTGGGCAACTTCTCCAGGGAATTTTAACTGTAATCAAATAATCGATACTCCAGGATGACTCCAACGTACATTATAATGACTAGGAGTCAGTTGGACAACTTCTTCAGGGAATTTTAGCTGTAATCAAACAATCGATACTCCAGGATGACTCCAACGTACATCATGATGACTAGGAGTCAATTGGACAACTTCTTCAGGGAATTTTCGTTTTAACCAAATAATCGAGTTTCTATGACAACTCCAACGTACATCCAGATACCCAGGTGTCAATTGGGCAACTTCTCCAGGGTATTTTAACTGTAATCAAATAATCGATACTCCAGGATGACTCCAACGTACATCATGATGACTAGGAGTCAATTGGACAACTTTTTCAGGGAATTTTCGTTTCAACCAAATAATCGAGTTTTTAAGACAACTCCAACGTACATCCGGATACCCAGGAGTGTATTGGTCAACTTCTTCAGAGAATTTTACACGGAGAAAATTTAAGTATCACTTTTTGTTAAACTCATATGTATTTTTAGTAAATTGACTACTAAAGTGGGGAAAAAACGAGAAGAAGACTAAATTTCTTATTTAATAGAAGTCTCTTTAACAATATATGACCTCTTTTTTTCAATATTTAGTAGTCAAGTTAAGAAAAATTCGACGTGGACAGTGTCGTAATTTAAAAGGGTTAGATGAAGCCCCGACTTAATCGCAACAATTATTCATTAACTTTTAATTATATCATAAATAATATTAATGAGGCTTTAATGTATAGGTTATTTTTCTTTTTCTGTGTTTAAAATTTCACAATCCTGTTAGATTATACATTGAAAATACATTTTTTATGAAGTTAGGGGCGCTTAAAACATCAAGTACTCTTCTGAGCACATGTGAGCTTGTCTATGAAACCCCCCCAAAAAAATATATCATGTCATGTACATCTCTTATATGAGAGATTCTTTTTCAATCGCCCTAGCCCAAAAAGTCAATGTTCTGGGATTGGCTTCATACTTTGGTAAATTGTTGTCCGATATGATAGTAATAAATCCCTAAAATATAAACACAGTTTTCCTAAAAGTATCAAATTGAGACCAAAAATTGCATCAAATCTTTGCAACGTTTTGATGCACATAAGTTATATCAAAAAGAGATCGTTTTGTGTATCATTTTTAGAAATGCTACACGAAACGGTCTCATTTTTTGATGCAAAAAATTTAATCAATTTATATCAATCATGGCCGAATTGAATCGACTCAAAATTAAAGGAATTTTTTTCAGATATTTTGGTAATAGTACAATTGCGGAGACCATTTCACTATTTAATTTGAAAATGAAAATAACAGAAAATCAAAGACAATGTGCAATTCGATAATTAAAAAGTGACAGCTTATAAACATATAACCTAAAATGCATGAGAAAAAATTTGTCGATAAAATCAATATAGCCGAGCTTTTTAGAAGGTAGATGGCAGCACTCATCTATTTTCTTTTTTTAAATTTTTTCTGAATCGTTTTTATAAAAAGCAAAACTGCCATCTACCTTCTAAAAAGCTTGGCTATATTGATTTTATCGACAAATTTTTTCTCATGCATTTTAGGTTATGTTTATAAGCTGTCACTTTTTAATTATCGAATTGCAAATTGTCTTTGATTTTCTGTTATTTTCATTTTCAAATTAAATAGTGAAATGGTCTCCGCAATTGTACTATTACCAAAATATCTGAAAAAAATTCCTTTAATTTTGAGTCGATTCAATTCGGCCATGATTGATATAAATTGATTAAATTTTTTGCATCAAAAAATGAGACCGTTTCGTGTAGCATTTCTAAAAATGATACACAAAACGATCTCTTTTTGATATAACTTATGTGCATCAAAACGTTGCAAAGATTTGATGCAATTTTTGGTCTCAATTTGATACCTAATATTAAAAAATCATAAATATTAAATCCAAGTTTATAATTCTTTTAATTATTGAGAATCAGTTTGAAACGAAAATTCCCTTAAGAAGTTGTCTAATTGATTCCTAGTCATCATGATGTACGTTGGAGTCATCCTGGAGTATCGATTGTTATATTACAGCTAAAATTTCCTGAAGAAGTTGCCCAATTGACTCCTAGTCATTATGATGTACGTTAGAGTCATCCTGGAGTATTGATTATTTGGTTAAAATGAAAATTCCCTGAAGAAGTTGTCCAAATGACTCCTAGTCATCATGATGTACGTTGGAGTCATCCTGGAGTATCGATTGTTTTATTACAGCTAAAATTCCCTGAAAAAGTTGCCCAATTGACTCCTAGTCATTATGATGTACGTTAGAGTCATCCTGGAGTATTGATTATTTGGTTAAAATGAAAATTCCCTGAAGAAGTAGTCCAAATGACTCCTAGTCATCATGATGTACGTTGGAGTCATCCTGGAGTATCGATTGTTTTATTACAGCTAAAATTCCCTGAAGAAGTTGCCCAATTGACTCCTAGTAATTATGATGTACGTTAGAGTCATCCTGGAGTATTGATTATTTGGTTAAAACGAAAATTCCCTGAAGAAGTTGTCCAATTGACTCCTAGTCATTATGATGTACGTTGGAGTCATCCTAGAGTATCGATTATTTGATTACAGTTAAAATTCCCTGGAGAAGTTGCCCAATTGACACCTGGGTATCTGGATGTACGTTGGAGTTGTCATAGAAACTCGATTATTTGGTTAAAACGAAAATTCCCTGAAGAAGTTGTCCAATTGACTCCTAGTCATCATGATGTACTTTGGAGTCATCCTGGAGTATCGATTGTTTAATTACAGCTAAAATTCTTTGGAGAAGTTGTCCAATTGACTCCTAGTCATCATGATGTTCGTTGGAGTCATCCTGGAGTATCGATTGTTTAATTACAGCTAAAATTCTTTGGAGAAGTTGTCCAATTGACTCCTAGTCATCA